CCTGCTTTAGGTCTTGTAGTTCCTTGAATGATAGGATGGGTGAGAGGGGGGCTTCTTTTTGCTACTAGGTCCTAGGTTTTTTTGGGGGGCGTCCGAGGCATCTCAATGCATCGGGAACGAGTGAGATGGACACTGCCCTCACCTTTCAGGCCCACTGGTAGGGTCACAGCGCAGGAAGGCTGTGTTGTTGTGTCCTAGCAGCATCCTTCTTCTAAGGCCAGGAGCTCCTAGTAGTTTCTTGCTCCTAGCAGCGATGCCAGGAGCCCCTATAGCAGCGTCCGTCACACGTTCCCCACATCTTAGTGTGGGGTTCTTCTTTTCTCCGCCGCCCGCTTCCCGCCGCCTCCGCCTCCTCCCTCCACGCCGAGACAACACACACAGAGACCACACACACCGAGACAACACACACACACAGAGATCACGCGCAGATTTCGTGGCAGGTACAGCACTCTGTGAACCTGCATGCTCCGTTAGAGGCTCTGGCTGTTGCGTTGTCGGCGGTTGTCTGCGGTTGTCTGCGGTGGTCGCCGATCCGTCCCTCCATTGTGATTGGTTTCTTGACGTGCAGAATTCGTGGCAGGCGCAGCACTTTGTGAACCTCCATGTGCAGATTTCGTGGCAGGCACAGCACTTTGTGAACCTCCATGTGTAGATTTCGTGGCAGGCACAGCACTTTGTGACCCTCCATGTGCAGATTTCGTGGCAGGCACAGCACTTTGTGACCCTCCATGTGCAGATTTCGTGGCAGGCGCAGCACTTTGTGAACCTCCATGCGCAGAATTCGGGGCAGGTACAGCACTCTGTGAACCTCCATGCTCCGTTAGAGGCTCTGGCTGTTGCGTTGTCGGCGGTTGTCTGCTGTTGTCTGCGGTGGTCGCCGGTCCGTCCCTCCATTGTGATTGGAGTATTCACTTGTTTCTTGACGTGCAGAATTCGTGGCCGGCGCAGCACTTTGTGAACCTCCATGCGCAGAGTTCGTGGCAGGCGCAGCACTTTGCGAACCTCCATGTGCAGAATTCGTGGCAGGCGCAGCACTTTGTGCTCCGTTAGAGGCTCTGGCTGTTGCGTTGTCGGCGGTTGTCTGCGGTTGTCTGCGGTGGTCGCCGGTCCGTTCCTTCATTGTGATTAGAGTTTTCACTTGTTTCTTGACGTGCAGAATTCGTGGCAGGCGCAGCACTTTGTGACCCTCCATGTGCAGATTTCGTGGCAGGCACAGCACTTTGTGAACCTCCATGTGTAGTTTTCGTGGCAGGCACAGCACTTTGTGACCCTCCATGTGCAGATTTCGTGGCAGGCGCAGCACTTTGTGACGCTCCATGCGCAGATTTCGTGGCAGGCACAGCGCTCCTCCATGTGCAGATTGTTTTACTTCGGCTAGTTGTGGCTGTACACACATGTCTGCGCAATACCTCGTTTCCGCCGTGCACATTACTCTCCCACACCTCTCTCCCACCCCTCTGTTGTGTAATTCTGATATAGTAATTCCTGACAAGGCCATGTTGTAGAAGCTTTTGAGACTCTGACTGCTTTGTGCTTTAGAAACTTAAGATTCGTAAAGATTCATATGTGGGGTTATCCGGTCCTTTAATTTGTTATGAAAAGACTTTTCTTTAACGGTTGTTCTTCTGTCAGGTGTACGGTCGATGTGGCGCCCTTCGCAGCCGGAGCTTCTTCCGAAGCAACGGAACCCTGGAAGGGACCGAAGCAGGCTGACTGATTTTGCTTTGTAATTTAGTTTAATTTTTGTTCCTAGTAGCGATGCATTAAATTACCCAGGTTTTGCAGTTGAAGGCACAGACACGGAAGCGCTCACAAATCAAGTGTCGAGCGCCACGCCCAGAAGCGCAGCCCGCGTAATACCGCATGATGCGACGAACTGGGCGCGCGATGCTGTTTATGCACCAGGTGTGGGTGTGAATGTTCGGTCTGGATATCTCTGACGCATGGCATGGTTTTCCTTGCGCTTTGGCTTTGACGGAGACGGTGCGCAAGACGAGTTGGTGTAGGCCCTTCCGGTCATTTTGCGAGCGGCGTTTTGATGGAGTTGCGCGACGTGAATTTGGTTGTTTTTTGTGGCGATTGGTCTCCCCGTTGTTTGTTTTGTGAGTTTTTTTGTTGTCCTTTGACGGTAGCTTGAGAAAGACCTGCGCCCGCGGAATGGAGAGGGCGAACAGACCGACCCACGGATGGGGCCAAGACAAGGTAGCGGTCGATCACGTCTCGACCGGGCTCACGGGCGGTTGCACCAAAAGCGAGAAAAGTAGCGATGCCCTTTGTTCCTATGTTCATCTTGTTTCACTTTCTAGGTTGATAATCTCCCTCGCTTCTAGGTTGGAAGTCTAGAATCTCCTAATTAGGAACGGGAGGTAAGGGGGCCCTTGTGGTCAATTTCAGCAAGGCAGCGGCCCAGATGAGCACGTGACACGACGGCGCAAGAATCAAGAGCGCAAATATGCACATGTTCACTGCGTTCCTTGGCCAGGGGACACGCCAGGGAGACCCCCACTGCTGAAGTGCGGTGTTTTTGTTGTTTTTGCAGATTGCGCTTGCATCTTCTGCCACGCAGATTGCATTTGCGCGATGCTGAAACAGGCGGTTTTGTGGATCTCGCTCATCTTTGTTTGCAGCTTGCTGCAGGGTTGGAGCTGAGGCGAGGCCTGTTTGTTTCTTTTGACTTTGGGAGTTGATATTTTGTCGAAACATCCGGCGCATCAAAAATGTTCAGTACGCCTGGCAATCATAAATGTTTGGCTTATGCCGACTTTGGGTGTCCTGGGCATTGCCCAGACACAAACAATCGCAATCTATTGCGCTGCCAGGCCACCCACTGGACGACTCATGGGCATGCTGATATTGGGCATCCTGCCGCAAACAGGTGTGGTTTGCCCGCCCCCTCCCTATTGGGTTGGAGGCCGTTGCTACTAAGTTGGCAGTTGCTAATAGGTTGGAGGCCTGCTTGTTTATGTTTTTTTGTTTTCGAGACATGGCCGGCCGACAGGCCTTGCTACATATTTGCTGTTTCGAAGAAAGGCTTGGCGAATAAGATGTACTTTGCGTTTCTTTTGGGTTTGCTGTACTTCATGTTTTTTGTTCACAGCTTTGCAGGTGCCTGGCGCATTCTTGAATGTTTTCCTTGGAGCCTATGCTGTGGCCTTCATAATATGGATGTTGTGCCTTGGGTGCATTTCGTAGAAAGATGCGGACGGTAAACAGATTCGCAACGTTTTTCTTCCTTCCAACAATTGCCTGCGGGTTTAATCAGTTTGCCCAAGGACGACGGACAAAGTGGCCGACGTGCTGTTCTTCGCGCAGGCTGGAAGTTTCGCTGGTTAGGTCAGGTTGGATTGCAGGCCATCACCATTAGGTTGGAGGCCATCGCTAGTAGGCTGGAGGCCATCGCTACTGGGTTGGAGGCCATAGCTATTAGGTTGGGGTCCATTCCTAGTAGGTTTTACGCCATCGGTATTTGCTATTTTACTGCTTTTTTTGTCGGAGGGTTTAAGATGAACTCATGTTTCACATATACCGCAGGTCGCATTGAGGTTCAAAAGGACCGCTCTCGGTAGCGGAGCCGCTCCGGAAGGGTGAGGCTCATTGCGACGCCATGGCTGGTGCGGAGGGTTCTCCGGTGATGAGCCCAGCTGGAAGCCCTAGTGGAGCCGCAGGCCAGATGGATGGACTAGAATTGGCGAAGAGAATGATGATGGCGACAGAAGCTGCATCCACAGCAGCTAGTAGCGGAGCCAAAGACATGATGAAAAGAGTTGGCGCAAGACATTGCCCAAGTCTGGAGTTTTTCATCCTAAGAGTCGAGAAGAGGAATTGTCGATGTGGCGTGACTTTGCACGGTCAATGGAACAATACTTAGCATCCCTTGATATCGAGTACCTTTCAGACTTCGAAGCTTTGAGAAAGAACCCGTCGACAGAAGTTGACAGCTCTTTGATGGGAGACACAAAGTTTGTCGAGAGGCCGGCTGATTGTTCTTCACTAATTGGTCCTGGCCTCTGGTGGAGAGGGTTTCGAGCGGTCGACAAGACTCTCTGACCTCCCGGCAAAGGTTAGTTAACGAAACAATGTCGCCTGGGTCGCACGCGCGCGCACACATGCCAGGCACTGAAAGCAATGGATTTGAAGCCTGCAGGCAACTTTTGAGTTCCTTGGAGCCGGTAAGCCGAACTAGACCCCGCATACTCAACGCTATACTCGGCTGGTCTTCATTTGACACGCAGAAGAATATTTTGTCGCAACTTGTGAAAATAGAACATGCCTTTCGAGAGTATGAGAAGACTGGAGCGACGTTGGCTGAAGAGATCAAATTTGCTGCGTTGATGACATGTGTTTCAGGGAACATCAAAACGTGGCTACAGCTGCAGGTTTCAGAATCCACAAGCTATGTCACTTTGAGAGAGAAAGTCCTCGAGTACGACAAGGCAACATTGAAATGGTACCAACTATGACGCTGACTTCGGATGACAAAGGTTTGGCGCCTACGGATATCGATCGAGCGCAGGACAAAGGGAAGAAAGACAAGGGAAAGACGGCGGACGGAAAGTCAAAGGGCAAAGGAAAGGACAATAGAGGCGGCAGAGGTAAAGGAGACGCAGGTAAGAAAGGCGATGAAAGTTGGAACAGAAGGCTGGGGCAAAGCAACAGGTGAGAAGCAATCTTCCTGCAGAGATGACGAAGGCAAAGTATGTTACACGTGTGGCAAGCCGGGCCACGTGGCAAAAGATTGCTGGAGAGTTCGACAGGTAGCTGAGAATCCACAGCAGCAAAGGATGATGCCAGCGCAACAGCTTTGTCTACCGCAAATGCCAATAGATACAGCATCAAGAGAGTTTCACAAACCTCTTTGCGCGTTTCACAAACCTCGCTGGATCCTTTCGTGTTTGATTTGAGAGAACTAGACGAAGACAGTGGCGTGATCAGGGCAGTCCAATTTTTCTTGATGGAGGAAAACGAGCCAGGAGAATCAAGTGAGGAGAGCTGAGAATGGTTACCCATACAGACTCAAGAGCATTGGTTTCCGGTAGTTTGGGATTCTGGCGCAGACGCAACGTTTTGCCAAGTGAAATGCTCACAGAGAAGTAGTACTAGTAGTAGTAGTAGTGGTAGTAGTAGTAGTAGGAGTAGGAGTAGTAGGAGTGTAGGTAGTAGGAGTAGTAGTAGTGGTAGTCGTAGTCGTAGTAGTAGTAGTAGTAGTAGTAGTAGTGGTAGTCGTAGTAGTAGTAGTAGTAGTGGTAGTAGTAGTAGTAGTGGTAGTGGTAGTAGTAGTAGTAGTACTAGTAGTAGTAGTAGTAGTAGCGGGAGTAGGAGTGGGAGTGGGAGTAGGAGTAGCAGTAGTAGCAGTGGTAGTAGTGGTAGTAGTAGTAGTTGTAGTATTGGTAGTCGTAGTAGTGGTAGTGGTAGCGGTACCGGTAGTAATAGTAGTGGTAGTAGTAGTAGCAGTAGCAGTAGCAGTAGCAGTAGTGGTGGTGGTGGTGGCGGTGGTGGTGGTGGTAGTAGTTGTAGTAGTGGTAGTAGTAGTCGTAGTAGTAGTGGTAGTGGTGGTGGTGGTGGTGGTTGTGGTGGAAGTGGTAGTGGTGGTAGTGGTAGTAGTAGTCGTCGTCGTGGTAGTAGTGGTAGTAGTGGTAGTCGTGGTAGTCGTAGTGGTAGTGGTAGTGGTAGTGGTAGTGGTAGTAGTAGTAGTAGTAGTAGCAGTAGTCGTGGTAGTAGTAGTAGTAGTAGGAGTAGTAGTAGTAGTAGTGGTGGTGGTGGTGGTAGTGGTTGTGGTTGCGGTTGCGGTGGTAGTAGTAGTACTAGCAGTAGCAGAAGCAGCAGCAGCAGCAGCAAGACTTGGGCAAATACACTATTTGAGTATTGTGCCCACACGGAGAAGTAAGGATTCTGAGAGCTGCCTCTAAAAACAAAATATCCCGCTGCGATGCTGACGTGCCCAACGCGAGCGAAAAGCACCTTTGCGAGTTTGCGGCAAGATGGACTCTGTCATACACAAATTGCCATGACTGAGCTGCCTGTGGCAAAGGAGCATTGTGTGGCCTGTCCATCACGCATCAAAAGTTGGTGCCAACGACCATACGTGGTTGGTATGGGCCAATGGAAGAAATGGTCCTGTGGACAATTGGCGTGGGTCGGTGGGAGGGCGTTGGCAGTAGGTCCTTGGTAATTCAATGAAAACTGACCAAATTCTAACAAACCAGATTTTGGGTGTAAAATTGAAAACGTGTGCGCGAAACACATCAAAGTCAGTAAAAAATCGAAATAATCATCAAAATCATCCATTTTCCCTTGCTATTAGGTTGGGGGCCATCACTATTGGGCTGGATGCCATCGCTAGTAGGTTGGAGGCCATCTATTAGGTGGAGGCCATCGCTATTAGGTTTGAGGCCATCGCTATTAGGTTGGAGGCCATCGCAATTACATTGGAGGCCATTGCTAGGTTGGAGGCTATCGCTAGTAGGCTGGAGTTGGAGGCAGGACCACAACTATATTTTATTAGGTGGGAGGCCATCGCTACTATTAGGTTGGAGGCCATCGCTACTATTTGGTTGGGGGCCACCACCATTATAAAATATTAGGTTGGAGGCCATCGCTATTTGGTTGGACGCCATCGGGAGGCCATCGCCTGTAGGTTCATTTAAGTTTCCAATGTAATTTGAGGACAATTCTTTCGACTCGATCACAGCACCTCAGGAAACCGTATTGCTCTCGTGCTCGAAACCAGAGAAAACAAAAACGGAAGGGCCCTGTGAATAAGGTCCCTGGTTCCTTGCTATGTTTCTGTGTTTTTTTTTGCTTTTGTTCTCGAGGTTTCTACTATGACCTATGCAACTCTGAGCTGCTTGGCTGTTGCAGTCAACCAGGCGCGCCAACCACGGCCGCTGTGGTTTGCATCGATCGCTGTCGTTGTCGCTCTCGAATGGTTCGTCCAATGAAGACAATCATTTCGCATTATTTTGAACATTTTTTGATCCCAATTTGCACTGAGCGTGGAGCAAAGAGGTTGCCATCACAAGGAAGTGAATCCCCAACTTACTGCCACTGTTAAACTTCTCCCGATCCTGCTTGTTCCAGAACTCGACAACATCCAGGTCAACTTAGGGAAAGGATCCATCACCAAACACAGCACCAAAACTAGACTCTAGACGAAACTGAAATGTGTCCGGCACGCTGGGCAGGTATACTGTCCGGGAGAAAACGGGCTAAATAAGGATAGAGTTAGAGTCATTTGTTTTTTTCAAGCGCTGCGAGAGCGCAGCCCTGCCTCTCAACTTAGAACAGGCGCAGCCATGAACCAAAACTGGGTTCCACGTTGAAAAAGAACTTGTGGAAACCACTGAGGGAAACAAAAGGACACCAACGATCAAATTCAACACTGGGAATACCAGAGCATTGGAAAAGAGATCATGGATGACTCCCTTCAGCCAACCTACTGCACGCTCAAAATGGTTTCCATGAGAGACCAGAAGTTCGCGCAATTTCGCCTTGCAAGGGCGCAAAACGCGTATTCGACTCTGATTCGCCCAGCGCAAAGCTGTATCGGCGCTGAGCCGATATGAGGCTGACAGCTGATTAACAGGGGCCAGGACCCATACAGAAGAGCTCCTCGTACTGCGGAATAAGCAACAAACTTTCAACGCTGCATGTGTGAAAGAAAGCGCTGGACACCGAGTCCAGCTTTGTGTTGGAACTGCGAAACACGACTTTACAGCAACCATAGGGTGGAGGCCATCGCTAATAGAAACTTGTAGCTGCCCGAAAGCCGGACATAATGACCATCAGGAGTGCAGAAATGAAATGAGCGCCCTTCAGGCAGATGGAAACTCTGCCTTGCGCCGCATTTTGAACCGTTTCTTTCCTGATGACCTCAAGGGATCGAACGCAAGCCAATCAGTCTTGGCTTGAGGAAGGACTAATTCAACGCATCACCGAAAAATAATAGAAACTGGCATGTGGCCGTTCAAGACAGAAACAAAGGCCTGTTTGATACAAACAAAACGTGCCACAAAAGACGGTCTTCGTTTGTGACTGCGCACTGAAGCTTGAAGATAGGAAGGTACGTCCCCACTTGACCTTGACTGTCAATGGCACGCAGAAGTCGCGCGTGGCACTTCTGGGCCAACTTTGTGAGCAGGGCGGTCTCGCTAGCACTCGCGAGTCGAAGCCCTTGGCCAGCGCGCGCGCAGAACCAACTGCACATTTCAGAAGCACGACATCCTCATGAAGACCATGTTCGCTACTAGGGGCTCCTGGCATCGATACTAGGAACAAGGACGCTACTAGGGGCTCCTGGCCTTACTACTAGGAGCAAGAAGCTATTAGGAACAAGAAGCACCAACATGAAGACCATCAGGTACACCAGCCTTGGAATGCACGCTGAAAAGATCAGCGCGCGATTGGCGAAAGCTGGGCGTAGACCGGCGTAGATATTGAAAAACGACGGTGTGTCAGATCAACTTCACTCAGGCTGGACACAGTGCCTTCATTTTCCATCGAGGTCTATCGAGAGCAAAACCAATCGACTTCACCATGACCGACTGCCATACCATGTTGGGAGCGCATCTTCGGAGGTTTGGGTGTCCATCCTTTTGCACGGCGCGCAAGCCTCCTGCCGTCTTAGGCATGTTGAGCTTGAGAAAAGGCAGCCAATCATTTTGTCATCTCATTATGCTGCGTTCGAAAATGTAGAACAAGCCAGGCGAACCAAGAAACATTCATGGCAGATCTAAGATGTAGTGAGCTGGCCAACAAGGCCTTCGACTGGCCGCTCTTCCAAGCATGGACGCGCAGCCAGAATGTCCACATTGGGATGCGTTTTCAAACATTAACGCCGAAAAGGATTGTTGCGCAGCCACCACTACGCGGCATCGAGTTGCATTGGGCAAAGCTATAAAGTTTGCATCCTTTCTTAGGGGGGTTGAAAGAGGAACTGGAGAGGTAGGTAGGTGGAGTGCTCACTCGCATGAATTGTCATGGTCAGCCAGCGCATCAAAGCAAGAATGACAGAAAACATAAGGACATGGTCGATGAATGCCACAGAAATATGCATGCTGCCACACCCCTCCAGGGAGAACCGGCTCAAGCAGGTGCAAAAGACTGGCCTGAGGATGTGTGTGTGTGTGCCTCCACATATCAAAACCTGTAGCTGGAAAGCATGGTATGCGTGGTTCAGCATTTAAGTTGCCAATGCGTACGATCGCTCCGTTCGTAGCGATGCCCTTTGTTCCTAATAGCTTCTTGCTCCTAGTAGTAAGGCCCTTGTTGCTATTAGCAAACATTGTTACTACTAGTAAGGCACTTGTTACTAGAAGCGATGCCCTTTGCTCCGTTCGTAGCGTCCTCTTGCTCCTAGTAGTACGGCCAGGAGCCCCGTTCGTAGCGTCCGATCGCTCCTAAAAGTCTGTGGCTGTTTTTTCGCAAATGCTGCGGTTTTCTTTCAATCCTGCGGTGTCCAATATAGTTTTTGTCTGTTTTTGCAGTTTGTGGTTTATAGATCGAGAGCCGGCATCACCAACGTCAGTTAAGCAGGCCTTTTTTGACAAGATTAAACAATCTTTAGTCCTTCCTTCCAAAAACTATTCTAACTAGAATGATAAGCTACTAGGAACAAGTGCATCGCTAGTAACAAGTGCCTTACTAGTAACAATGTTAGAAACAAGCATTTAATTAGAATTGTAATTACTAGCAAACATTGTTACTACTAGTAAGGCACCTGTTACTACTAGCGATGCACTTGTTACTACTAGCGGTCGAAACGGACCGACTTCGACTCCGCAGGTACTCACCCGACCTCGAAGCGCGACCGCGACGGAGTTGGGCAGCTGGGCGGCGGCCGTGAGCACCGTGGCCTTCTTCGGCGCGGTTCATCTGGCCGGACGCCGTTTGGGCGTAAAGAATCGTGTTCTTAGTTTCTTGCTAGTAAGGCCAGGAGCCCCTAGCTTCTTGTTAGTTTCTTGTTTCTAGTAGCGATGGCCTCCAACCTACTAGCTTCTTGTTCCTAGTAGTAATGCCCTTGTTACTTGTAGTTTCTTGCTACTGGTATTGCGCTTAGCTACTCGTCCTTGCTACTAGCAGTGATGCGCCCTGTTACTAGTATCTTAAAGAATCTCGACTCCCATCCTCGGTACATCCAGATATGCCTGTTTGTGCAGTTGATTTCAGAGAGCATGTTCTGGCATTCATCAGGTGGGTCACGTCATTGGAATTGGACTTGCCAGTTTTTCTCCTGAGGTCAGGTATGGTTAAATGATTTGAACGCATTGGACAGGTCCTGGACTTTCCCTTCTCCAATAGCTGGCTGAACTGGTTGCTTTATGCACTTCTCCAATTACCACAGATCGTCACTCAGCGGAACCAGGGCTTTGAGATTGCCTGAATGCTAGACTGCTTGAGAGCAGGCGGTTAGCCTCTCAGCATGGTGTTTGTCATTCTTTCATGTTTTGAGCATGGTGTTACTAGTAGCGTGGCACCTGTTACTACTGACGTTGAGCTCCTCCGAGGCTTTTGCGCTCCTCATGCGCCGCATGACGCCCATGGCGTCTCTTGATCGACCATCCGCAGAGATTTCTCAGAGATGTGATGCGACGTAGAAACAAGTGCCACGCTAGTAGTAACAAGTGCCTTACTAGTAGTAACAAGAAGCTACTAGTAGCAAGTGCATCGCTACTATCTAATTAGAATTTAGAAGTGACCTCCGAGATGTGATGTCTACTAGTAGGCCCTTGTTACTAGTAGCGATGCCAGGAGCCCCTAGTAGCGTCCTTTGCTACTAATTCTATCCCATATAAAACTAGCAGTAGCACAGACAGTAGGGAACTATGTATTCAGTAGCCTCATAGTGTGCCATGTTCTGAGGTTATTCATAATCGGCTGGCTCATTATACTCCACAAGGCCTTTTGGCGCATTAACTTTGTGGACAAGAAGCTAGTAGTAACAAGTGCCACGCTAGCAGTAACAGGTGCCTTACTAGTAGTAACAATGTTTGCTAGTAGTAACAAGTGCCACGGTGTTCCGCTGTACCTTGTTTCGTGCAAGGCAGTTGCTGAGATCGACGGACGAGTAGGCCAAGGCCCGGCACGGAGTCCACCGGCGAACGAGTTGACGGGTTACCTTCCTAGTAGCTTCTTGCTCCTAATAGCAATGCCCTTGCCCCTAGTAGCTTCTTGTTACTACTAGTAAGGCACTTGTTACTAGAAGCGATGCTCATTTCTTCAGGTTGGCCAGCAGAGCTGGGGAAGGCCCTGCAGTTGGGGCCCAAGTGAAGCGTGATGCTCACTGATCCGGTGAACATGTCATTCAAAAAATATATGTTAAGGGGCTTTGAAGGGCAAAGTTACCCTAGCATCAATCCCAAACAGCGGCGGCAGCTCGATGTTTCTTTTGGCAGAAAACCTTGAAAGTTTTGGTCGCCAATTTTGAGCCATGAGAAACAAACAAGATAAAGAAAGACAAAGCAGAATCATTTGAGCCCAAGCATCCATGAAGAGCCACGGGAGACAAGAGGAGACAAAGGGAGACAAAGAATCATCTTGACGCACAACCGCTTCTCTCACAGCTTGTTTGGGGAATCAAGATATGTGGCAGTGGCAGAGGGTTCAGGTGACCAGCTGGTTTGGAGCAAGGGTAGATCCCCATCCTACTAGGAACAAGAAGCAGTAACTAGGGCATCGCTACCAGTTAAGTCTCCCTAAAAATCTAGAAACTAAATCATTAGTGGCAGCGCTATCCTGAGCCAACGTTTGCTACTGCCTACCTCTCCCTACTAGCGACTCCCTAGCTACCTCTAGCCCCCCCCAAAAAAGAGCACAGCCAAGCAAGTTCTCCGTTCCGAGAGTGCCTTTAGCCGCAGCATTCTTTGAGGCTTGGCGCCTTTTACATCCTGGGGGCATTGGCAACCAAGCTGCGTAAGTGAAACAAGCGAAGAAAGAGAATGTGATTAAGTGGTTTAGTGATGTGATCGGTGTTAGAATTTGTCAAGTGGAACGTGTTTTTCTCTCAAGCCAGCCGAAGGTTTGCTTGATTCTCCTTGGCTACAAGGACAACAAGAGTACTTTGGAGGAACCCGAGACTCCTGTGACGCTTTTTGTGACTATTCTGTGTCATTTCCTTTGTGACTACTCGTTCTCGGGTTATTTTGATTATCGAAGCATGGTGTCTCTGGTCGAAGACTGCACCGAATAGGCCGAGAACCACATCCGCGAGGTTCGAATCGAAGCAAGAACGCACAACCGATCCCGTTGAAACCAGCGCACCTGTCGATTCCACCAAAGCCACTGGCTGAGATGGAAGGTCACAACATGAAACGACAATGGCAATGTTGGAACCAGCCTGCTAGCTTCTTGTTACTAGTAGCGTCCTTGCTCCTAGTAAGGACAGGAGCCCAGTAGCGTCCTTGCTCCTAGTAGCGATGCCCTTTGTTGGAACCAGCCTACTATGATGTGAACTAGAAAAGGGAGGCTTTGCAGACGGCGCCACAGCTGAAAAGTAACAAATCATGGAGGACCAGGCATAGAGTCTGTTCCTAGCAGCACAGTGCTATAGGAGCGCACCGTGACAAAACCAGCCAAAGTCACTGAAGGGGTCTGAACACTTTGTATTCCTGTAACAAGAAGCTACTAGTAACAAGTGCATCGCTTCTAATAACAAGTGCCTTACTAGTAACAAGGACGCTACTAGTAACAAGGGGTCTGAACACTTTGTATTCCTTGACCATGGAGGGAACGGAGGCTAAAGCGTTTCATTTCATCCCCGACGACGGATGGCTGGCTCCAAAGAACGTCTTCGAAGCCGACGTTGATCCTGTTGGAGATTGTTGTTTCGTGGGGTGCTGTGTCGTGTCTGCAGGCTTCTCTTTGACCTCAAAGACCTCTAAGCAACGCGAAGTGTTCATTTTTCCCAGGAGCTAGTGGGCAAGCGCTTTGAATGTTCACCAGAGGAGGCTTGGCAGGTGCATATCATTGTGTCACACACTGTGTGTTCATGGTTCGTTGGTTGACAACGAGTTAGAAGTTTGCATGAGCCTTCTGAGTTGGACTCTAAGTTGTGAATTGGTTACAGGATGGAGACGAGTTCAAACCCAGTGAGTCTCAATCTCAGTGGGGTTCTTTCCAGTCAGCGTGCAGCGCCCAAAAGACTTCCCCCATAAGAGTCAATATGTCAATATAAGTTTTTCGGGTTTGCTGGCTCCTCTCCGTTTTTTACACATGCGCACTTTTCAACATTAGAGATTTAAATCTCACGCTCATGCACACTTGGTTTTCATGCGCTGGTCCTTTGCGCCCATCAATTTCTGGGTTGGAGTGGTGTAGCGGCTACAGCGCAGAAGATTATTCAACCGGGCTGGCAATTTTTTTCAGGTTGTGCGCAACGTTTCACAGCTACGCAAGCAAAACAAAGTTAGTGAAGATAAAATTTAGAAGGCCTCGGTTGCACAAACTTAAAACCAAAAAGCTGCGTGGAGCACGCGCAAAAGTGCTGCGCGAAGGCTGCGAGACACGTGCCAATGGGTGCCGGCTTGCGGGCAGCCTACTTAACAACTACTCTTAAGCTCACCTAGGGGGTCCCCCCCCCAGTATGACTCTTATGTTTTTTCAATAGTTGCACATAAAACAAAAATGTTCTCAGATGAGTCGTTACACAACGTTGTGCTTCCGTATCCTTTCGGCTTTCGGCTTCGTGGGATCCATCGATGTATGTTTCACCCAAAACGAGCACTGGTACCGTTTGTGAGAAGCCCAAGGCCAATGTCTGAGCCTGAAGAAGACAAGCAAGAGTCCTGGCTGCTTCTCCAGCAGCTGCCATGGCTGCAGCTCTTGCAACTGCAGCAGTGGCTTGAATGGAAGATGTGGAAGATTTTTGGTAGCTTTCGATGTCTTTCTCTCCAACGTGCATTGATTTCCAATGATTTACAGGTTTTTGTGGGTTGAGATTTGGGACCAGGCATTTTGGTGCTGGGCGCCGCCATGCTAGCAAGGCTGTGCATTCAGAGCACAAAAACATCGGCGCAACCACATCGCTGCGCGATGCTTTGCGCATTGCTTCCTTTACACTTTGGAGGGCGCTTCTTGTTACTGGTTTCTTGCTACTAGTACTAGTGGCCTCCAACCTACTAGCGATGGCCTCCACCTAGAAGTTTGTTGCACAACTGCAGGAGGATGAGGAAGATTGCTGAAGTTCCACTCTGTCGCCCAAGGCGATCGTTCGAGCGAGAAAGAATGGTTAGAGCGTTACTTTGGTCGGACGCCGCAAATACGAATCTGGAAGCCTTTATTTTTCTTGATCAGTAACAGGTGCCACGCTAGTAGTAACATGTGGCATTGAACCACACCCAAGTGGGTCAAGGGAGACGAAGGTCCGATGCCTCTCACATGAGATCATTCTGGTCTTCTTTAGACTTTAAGATCTAACAGCAACCTCCAACCTAAGAGCGATTGTTGTGTTCTAGTCTTAAAGGGTAGTTATGGGTGAGTCCAAGCACAAAGGCGAGCAGTTGTGCTTTAGTGCAGCGACCCGTCACAAAGAAAGGAAACCTCCGATGAAACAAACCATTTGCAGAGTTGAAATTGCACAGAAACTGGCGGACACTGGGTTCTCGGCAAGATTTTTTGTGATTTGCTTCATGGCGTTGATAGTTTTTGGAGGGAAGCAGTGACAGCAAAGACTGTTCTGGAGTTGCGTGGTGGAGATAATCAAGTGCCAAAAACAAGATGGTCAAAACCGCACCTAAAGATTAATTAAGATGGTCACGAATTATTTTGTGGAGGAAAAGAGTAAATAAACCGCATCATTCTTTACAGGAAACGGTACAAAACCTGTGAACGGATATTAGAGACGTTCGACAGCAATCCACCACCACCTCCGGAGTTGCCCATGGAACCTCAATATCTAGCTAGGGACTAGAACATTTACACGCCTCTACAGGGGATATTCTCCGGCTGTTTTGTGTCAAACAGTCAACTTTGTAGCAATGACCGTTTCCAAGCAGTTCATATCAGTTTTCTTCATTCTTTCTTTCATGGAATCGCAATCTTCAAGATGGAATGCAAGAATGAAAAAGACGGAATGAGCCGTTTAGGCTCATCCGCATGGACGCTTACATTGCTCCACCGTGTGGTATGGATGCCCTTCGCGATGAACCGTAGGTTGGAGGCCATCGTTTTTAGGTTCCTTAAAGCACATAATTTGTTTCTTGTTACTATACTAGCGTGGCACTTGTTACTAGTAGCAAACATTGTTACTACTAGTAAGGCACCTGTTACTACTAGCGTGGCACTTGTTTCTTCGTGTTTATTTCTTTTCATTTTTCTCCCCGAACATCGGACCAAACAGAAAGAGCTACGAGCAGAAATGCCTGTGCTAGTCTGGTGACGGAGCGATTGCCTCTTGGCGCAGTCCGAGTAACGACTTGATAAAGACAACAGTGTTCTGGTGCTACATAGCGCTACATAGTGCCACCAGTTGCAGTGATGTCCACGGCAACCTGGTGTCAAGTATAGTTGACCATGCCGCGCCCGAGCAATGCTGACGTCGAAGAGTCTGCCCTGGAGTTAGTCAATGAGGTTGAACAGCGATTGAAAGAATCTTCCTTTGCTAGCCTTCGGAACATTTATTCTGGGGACGATTCTATCAAGGCGCGGCAAACATTTGGTTTTGACCGGGTGTTTGGACGCACAAAAGACCAAAGACTTGAATCCCGAAGGTCTTCTTCAGCTGCGGTGCAAATACGGCCAAGAGAAGTCAAGAAGTGGCAACAAATATTCTCCAGGACGGCGTTTTCCGGCTCAAAGTGTTTATTCATAGACATTCACCTAGTGATTCTAATGGCCTAGTGGGCAGACACCACAATTCTGACCACATTTGGCCAAGAATATCCAAAGCATCTCATACTCTTCACACTTTTGCACCCCATGGTGGTCGCGATGTGTTTTTCTTGCAGAAAAAGTCGCATGATAGGGGCTGGGGTGGCGAAAGGGAGCAGAGCGACGTGGCGCATGAACAATACCCTAGCGCTTCAGAGACACTGGGGTGAAGTAGAAGCGCAAGTCGATATGATGTTATATGTTGGTTCAGACCCAGCCCTGTTGCGACATGTACATTCAAAGTTGTGCAGCTGGCCTTCCCCAAGGTGTAACAATCGAGAAGAATAAGGAAAGGACATACTGACTTATACTGAGCTAAACCCGAAGGAGACCTGCATAGACCTGCTGCTAAATTTGGTCAATGAAGCAGCCGGAGCACATAGACGAGATGACTATCAGCTATAGTTTGGGTGTGCCAACGTTTATCATTGTGTTTGGTACAGGCCCAGTCAACCATCATCATACCATCATCCACTGCGCATCACTGCGCAGTGCATAGGATTGGCCGCCGGCGTTGTTGATCTGTTATCGACATGTTTTTTCCGACAGCGATCGCACATAAACTGCCTGGCCTGTCTACTTTGCCAGGAGAAGGGCTACTTGCAATTCAAGGCTTCTATGGGCAAACAGGTCTTATTCTGCAAGAAGGATCACGAAGAACAAGCCCGGAAGGAGGAAGAACCATCGACCTACGCGAAGTTTGTGTCTGGACATGACGAAGTGAAAACCAAGCGGGCGCGCTCGGAGCGGAAAAGGGATGCAAAAAGCTCCAAAAAGGTCAGAAGTACCAATCCGGCGGGTGAGTTGAGCAACTTTGAGACCCATGAAGTTGCTGAAAAACAGCAAAAGAATGAGAAGAAGGAGGATGCCCGCACGAGCAGCAGCAGCAGTAGCAGCAGCAGTGACAGCAGCAGTGATGGTAACAGTCCCATTGGCGAGAATGCTCCAGGGATCGCAGATTTGAACGAGGCGCTGAAGAGGGTGTGATGTGTTTGCGTTGGTGAAGTGTAACTGGACTGTGGACGCTTGTGTAAGACTTGCCGGCTCAAAAATTGAAGTTCTTGCATGTTTGCTACCCCTCACCATGACATTCTTAGGTTTTTTAGAGCATAAACTTGAAAAATGTGGAATTTAAGCTAGGTTCAGATGTCACTGAAGGATGACGCGTACATATCGAGAACTGTGCTGCAGGCTTCAAGTGTTCTGAGAAATTCATTTAATTTGGCTTGAGCTCCAGCGGACAGAGGACTGGACCCGATCTTCGAACACGTTCTGCCCCTGTCCCTTTCGCACTCGCCCTCGCCTAGCCACCATAAACTAGTGTGGCAATCATTGCTAGAGGGTTCTTCACGAAGCTGATCAAGATCTCCATAGGCAGGACTTTGCCCACACCCTTGAGATTGCCCTGACCTTGGTGGAGCACCTGACGGTCCTACGGCCTTGAAGAGAATAAGGTTTTTGAGGTTGAAGTTGGTAAGAGTATTTGGAGTGGAGCTCCATGGACGGTACTGGCGCAGAAGCTGATAGCTTTTATCCAAACCTACGCTGGCAAATTGGAGGAGACTCGAGGCTTGATGGAGGAGGAGAAGAACGTCAACAAGTCGAGTGATGCCCAAGATTTGCCTAAAAAGATTCCCACAGAGTTGACAGAGGAGGAGAAATTGCGAGAAGACAAGAAGAGGCCGGATGAGGAAGAGGCCATTCCAGAGTTGATTCCAGCGCAAGCTGATCCAAACAGGATCGCTGAGGCCAGGAACCAAGCAGGACCTTCAACTCCAAGACCGAGTGCACAGAAGGTCCCATTGCTGAGTGGAAGTCCAGAGCCTGAAGGAACAACCAAGCTTATTCATGATCTGGCAGCCGAATCACCAGAGTCGAAGCGGTTGAAGCCCAATGATGCGACAGAAAGGAGGCTCGAGGTGACCCAACTTGGAGACGACATTTTCCATCATTTGGACAAAGTTGTTGGCCAGGAGGATTTGTGGGCTTATGAACATGAGGCTGAAAACAATGTGGAGGAAGCCAAGCATGACATCCCATAAACCCTAGGCCAGATGCACCTCTTGACAGAGTCCCACGTGACCCTCCGAAGTGGATCGATGATTTAGCTGACGCCGTGGGAGAGTGGAGATTGAAGCGGCTTGGTGTGCTATCTACCTCCATTGGAGCAACTTCGAGATGGGTACAAGTTGCTGACAACTCGCTTTGTGAGAGACTGGCGAGTGAAGCCCAATCCTACCAAAGCAGGATCACCCAAGATGTTCCTCAGACATTCAAGGTTGGTGGCCAGGGAGTACAACACCAAGAGGGATGATGTGGGCAGACATTGAGGTTGATTCCAGCAGTTTTTTTGACGATGTCAAGGACGCCTTTTGGCAGGTACCTCAGGAGGAGCCAACGCAAGTCACAACAGCTGGTGGACATTTTGAGGTGAGACGAAGCCTGCCAGGACAGCGCATTGGAGCAAAAGCTTGGTTTGATCATTTGACGAATTGGCTGAAAGAGAAAGGCTTCGCATTTGCAGAGATCAACCCATGTTTGAGCAAGCTGGATCACAAAGCATTGCTGTTGAGACATGTGGATGATATCTTGTTTACAGACGAACAGCAATACATTGAGAAGGAGCTACTTCCTGCAACGAAGGAGAGCTTTGAGATTTCAGTCCAGCGCCTGACTACACCCGGCAGCACCTTTCAGTTCTTGCGCAGAACCTGAAATGACCGCGGATGGTTTGAAGATTCTGCCAGGGAAGTATGCTGAAACCATGATTGAGGCTTATGAAGAAGTCATGGACAAGGCGAAAGCGCAGAAGCCGCCGTGTACAAAGGAGATGCTGGAACAGGATGGAACCACATATTTGAGCCCAGAGCTGGCGAGTCTGTATTGATCGATAGTGGGATGTGGAATATATCTTTCACAGGAAAGGCCAGATGTTTCCTTTACAATCAACAAGTTCGCAGATTCAATGGCAAACCCTACCACCGAAGAATGAGAAAACTTGGCAGACTCATCGGCTACCTCAAAGGTACATTGGGACAACATGTCATAGTGGAGATTCCTGACAGTGATTGGTCAGGATCAAAGAGTGTCAGAAGATCCACGTCATCTGCCATTCGCATGATCAATGAAATGTTTGTCTTGACCAGTTCGAGGGGGCAGAAGTCTGTGAGTTTGAGCTCAGCGGAGGCAGAGCTTAATGCGCCTGGAATTTCTTGTCGAGGAAGAAATAGTTCATGACTGTTTGGTTGACAATTCGGCAGCCATCCAGCTAAGCCACAAGCGAGGACCCGGAAAGCTGCGTCACATTGATGATGGCAAACGGTTGTGGATTCAGGACCGAGTTGCGCAGCGAGAGCTCAATGTTAAAGCAGTTCGTACAGCTTACAATGTTGCTGACCTTGGAACAAAGCCACTGACAAGAGCAAGAATCCATTTGATCTTGCGTTGGCGCCGCAACTATGATGCACAGGGACATCGCTTGGGAGAAGAGGAACACGAGCGATTTCAGGAGGAAACCATCAGTCGAGGAAGATCCAAAGACTTGCCAAGTTCTTGCATCGAATTATAGTTCTTGGAAGCCTTGAGCAAGTGGCTGGCGAACGGGTTGAAGCAGAAGTAGACTTGCAGGCTGGATCAGAGACAAGTGGGTTGTTCGTTCTCACATTGTTGCGGCGATCTACAAGTTGCGGCGACGGCTTCTAGTGATTGAGGACAAGATCATCGAAATCAAGGACAGCCAGAGAATTAATGGCATGATGATTGGAGCAATTAATTGGTCATGAATCCCAAGAAGGCATCCAAATGGTCAGGCAATATGCGCAACGAATCCATCGAGAGCTTATCAAAGCTTCAGGCTACGTGGATCCAGATGAGGTTGAACCAGGAGATTGGCTCTACTGGGACTACATCCAGAAG